CCCTCCTCCCCACGTCCCCTTGTCTCGCCGCGTCCCCGTGCCACCGCTCGTGGAAGCAGGTGAGTGGGGCCGGGGCCTCGTCCCCGCAGGGCGATGGGGCTGGGTGGGGGCGCGGGGGGGCAAGGGTGCGCGGGGGCGTGCATGCGGCCAGCGAGCGTGGTGCACGCCAAACGGGGCGTGCATGCATGTGTGCGAGGCTGAGCGTGTGCATCTGGGCGCAGTGGCGCGGAACGGGGTGTGCATGCACACACGTGCGTGCTTGCAGGTGAACTGGGGGTGCGCACGCCCTGCGAGCGCTGCTTTTTTGTGCAGCCTGGGAGCCGGGAGAGCGTGCACGTCCATGTGCGCAGCCGGGCGTGTACACACCGATGTCATTGCTGTAGGAGTGGGGGTTTTGTGCACCTGCACGCTTGGAGCAGAGATGGAGGGTTTAAGCGTGCAAGGGGATGCGTGCACGGCCGCAGGGCAGAGGGTTGGTGTGCGCGCCTGGGTGCATGCAGAGCGGTGCATTCTCCAAGGCGTGTGCATGCACATGCTGGGTGGTGCGCACGTGTGTGCGTGCACGCGTGTGTTTGCGTGTACGTGTGCATGCGCATGCAGCTGGGTGGCGTGCGTGCATGCGTGCGTGCGTGTGCGTGCGGCGCGGTGCCCTCGGCGGAGCCTGAGGCCGCAGTGTGCGGCGCAGCCATGGCTCCCCGCTGGCCCTCCCTGCTGCTCCTCGCCTGCGCCCTGGCGCTGCTGGCCGGGCACCCCAGCACCGCCGGCCCCGCGCAGCCCACCTACCCCGGGGACGACGCGCCCGTCGAGGACCTCGTCCGCTTCTACAACGACCTCCAGCAGTACCTCAACGTGGTCACGCGGCACCGGTGAGCGAGGGGCGGTGGCGGGGGCACGGCTGCGGGACCCCTGCGACGTGCTGCATCGTTGCAACGCGCTCCCTGTTGCAATGTACTCCCTGTAGCAATGCACTGCGTTATTGCAGTGTACTCCCCATTGCTATGTACTCCCTGCTGCAACATATTCCCCATTGCAACGTACTCCCTGTAGCAATGTACTGCTCCATTGCAATGCACTCCCAATTGCAAGGTACTCCCTGTAGCAACGTGCTGCCCCGTTGCAACGTGTTCCCTGTTGCAGCGTACTCCCTGTAGCAACGCACTGCCCCATTGCAATGTACTCCCTGTTGCAACATATTCCTCACTGCAATGCACTCCCTGTTGCAAAGTGCTCCCTGTTGCAATTCGTTTACCTGCTGCAACCAGATTGTTGTTGCAATGCGCTCCCCATTGCAGCATGCTCCCCATTGCAATACGCTCCCTGTTGCAATACTCCCCACTGCAGCACGCTTCCTTGTTGCAACATGCTCTCCTGCTGCAAGCAGCTCTATTCTGCAATGAGCTCCCCCATTGCAGCACACTGTTGCACCACGCTGCCTCCTTGCAGCCTGCTCAACTGCTGCAACCGACTCCCTGTTGCAATGCAATTCCTGCTGCAATGTGCTCCCTGCTGCAACCTGCTGCCACCACCATGCACACCTGATTGCAACATGTTCCCCGTTGCAAGGTGCCGCTCCCTTGCAACCTGCTCCCTTGCTGCACCCTTTGCTCGCTGCAGCCAGCTCCCCCGTTGCAACGCGCTCCCCGTTGCTGCACGCTCCCTGGTGCGTGGCGCTGCCCCCCCGTAACGTGCTCCCCCCTCGCAGGTATGGCAAGCGGTCGGGCGGCCGGGTGCTGTGTGAGGAGCCCTTCGGCGCCGCGGGGTGCTGAGCCCCCAGGTGAGGGGTGGCAGGCGGGGTCCGTGCAGCAGCCGAGCTGGGGGGCCGGGGGCCGGGGGCT